AATGAAACGGCGTCCATCCAGGTGCTCAATTATGCGGCGGAAGCCCACCAGCGCCTACGACAGATGCGGCCTGTCATGAATTTTGATATTGGAATCTTGCTACTACTGATTGGCAAAGCTAGATTGGTGGATATTCTCGTGTTTTGAGAATTCACTTTCTGTTGGAATACAAACTGTTGTTGCACCACCACCGCCGCCGCCACCACCACCGCCGCCACCACAGAAGCAGTAGCAGTGGCAGCAGCAGCAGCAGCAGCAGCAGCAACAAAAACACCGCCACCACATAAAGCTCCGATTTGAGGACTGAATTGGTGAGAGTTTCTGCTCGTGAGGTAAACTGTTTGGGTGAAATTGCTAGTGAACCCTTTGATGGATCCTGCCTCTACCAAGCTGATGTCCATGTTCAGAAACAGATCAGCACCCCGTCGCTGAAATCGACAGTGCTCCTCGAGAAATGGATCTCTATCTATCATGATGAATTCTAATGACAAAGTTTCCTCCTACTAAACACTGTTCAATGTGAAACGGACATCTGACTTGCACATGAGGTGGGTTATGTTGCCCCTGAATGAATATGTTCCGCAAGGAGCCTGAGAACACAATATGGCCACACCTCAAGATCGCCATAAAGCAACACGCACATTGCAAAATTCCATGGAAGAACTTTCTCTGAGACCTGACTAGGACGTGCCATATTCTATATTTTATCACAAGCAAATGGCTAACATTGCATTGCAACCCAACAATTTGCAGTGCTATGCAGCAAATGTCTCATGCCCATAGACCAATTGAGGCTTTGACAATAGCTTGCGCCACGGCATTTGTTGACAAGTTGACATATTGAACCACACGCGGTGAATTTTATGTTTCAGTCGTCACTCATCTTATAGCGACCATTTTCCCATGGGTTTTGCGTAGCGGATACCGACCATTTTCCCATGGGTTTTGCGTAGCGGATACCCTCACCCTTGCGCCAGCTCGAAAGCAAATGGGTTGACACAACCCAAACCACCACCAAAAAGGGGCTGACTTCCTCCAAAACATAAGCCCGAGAAAAATTGCCCACTGTTTGGCATGAATTTGCTGATGAGGATTGGCAACATATGGCACGTGTCAATAAACCTGCGACGTTTGCAAGGTTGTTGACAACTGGCGTGTGTTTGTTCCGCTTTCAAGGTGTGAGCCTTGTCAACGTGCCAGCGAGCATATTAGCGCGGCACAGCAATACGTCAGTGTAGCACATGATTCCACAAATGTGCAAGCATAACAACACCGCAGCAGGCAGAAACTAGGAAACCTCTTCCAGTCCCGGCTTCAGACTGAGCCCGGCAGCATGACCCGATTTCTGCATCTTAGCGTGACAACGTGCTAGCATGTTAGTTTGCCCCAGACCCACATGACAGTATGTCAGCACAACAGCCTGACAAATTGTCTGCATGACACCATGCCAGCATATCAGCGTAACAATATGAATCATGTCAGCCTGTCTACACGTCTGAGTGACCGCACTCTCAAGGTTCTTCAGAGTGAAGACCTCCCCTCGGTCATTTTCTCCAGGCAGCAGATGTGTAACTGGAGCGGCCTTTGGGTGGCTCCAGTTCATCATAGGTGTCTGGTTGCCCCCAAAGTTCCTCCTTGGCTATTAAAGAAAAATAGGCTGCTTTCCACAGGCTCCAGGCAAGTCCAAAATAGACATATCATATACTCTTTTTTACACACCATGTCAGCAAATCAGCATGGCGCCGCCTTAGCGCATCAGAAGTATCCCACATTAGCAGGTTACCGCAAACCGCCCGGGCGTGACAACAGGTCAACAGCATGACATGTCAGCGCTAGCCCGTGACAACATCATCATAGCGGCATCCCATCATATCTGCGAAGAGCTCCTGAACTGGCGAGAAGCTGCTCCCAAACTCCGGAACCTGCTTCAGAACCTGCTCCAGAACATGCTCCAGAAGCTGCTCCGGAACCTGCTCCGGAACTCCGTCACCTGCTCTGCTCCAAAGTCTTTACTCTGGCTGAAGACCCCTAAGCATCGAACCACTCCTCTTCATGAAGCACGACCAGCAGATTTCCTGTTTCCCAGCCAGGCTGCTCATCTGCCTCGGACCCAACAATTCCGCTGGTTTCCAGTCTCCGGGATATGCTAGAAGTAAAGACCGCGGTAGACTTGATTCTGCAATCAAACAGTTTACCCTTTGAAAGGAAACCAACTGTTCAAATCATCTTGGGTCTCCTCACGTTTAAGTCTAGCAAACTCCCGCCAAGAATCCTTTCCAGAAAAATGGATTGTATCCCCATGAGCTGCACCTTGCGGCACGTCAACCTCACATCCCTCGTAAACATTCCCAGCTTTCCTTGGACACGAATTCGCTCAATTGTATAACAACACTGACTGAGAAATAAGCCATTTGCAAACGAGTATCCAAATCATTCCAGTGCCTGCGCATGCTTTGCAAATGTCAATCATACCAGGAGGGGCTCGTGACAAATGGCAACCACTGCGACCACCAGCACTGCCAGCACCATTGCATATCGGGCACTGCCGGACCTTGGGCCAAAAGCACAAACAACCTAGCAAACTGTCTGAGTCTTGGGTTGTAAGACAAGAGGGTGAGGAAAGGACAAGATTGCAAGAGTGCTCATGGGTCAAAATCTGCATGTATATCCATACATGCATATATCATATATCTACAAATCGGTGAGCAATCGTTAAAGGTCCCGACAGTGGCCAGTTGAACTAAGCTTGACATGTTAGAATTGGTTGGGAACGCCGTACTGCGACGTCTTTTTGAAGCACCTCCTTTGTGAGAGGCCCAGAGGATTAGTGGCTTACAGCAATCACACCCAGCCGTTCGAACCGGAGAGTCGGCGTGAGCCACAAATAGGCAATTGGTCCTTACACATCCATGGGCCGACAAAACAGAGGTCAAGCTGGCTGCTCTCTAGACCTCCTGCAAAATGGGCTTCCGAGCAAGGTTTTAAGTATGCTCAATCTTTTGAGAGAGAGGGAGAGATGGGGTTGTAGTGGCTCAGTGCCAAAAAGACACACAAACGAAAATGAGGCACAAATCAGCACTTGGAGCTTACACATCCATCAACTCGACTTTACAGGAGGGAGCTCTAAACCATTGAAATGTTTGAGTAAGCATAACTGTACGCTATGGAGCATCGCGGAAACACGGTGTAAGTTTGAGGACGAATTCCTGTTTGAAGCAAGGGACGGCTTCTGAAGTGTCAACCACCTTTCTCTTCACTCTCAAAGTTTTCGTGCAGCCAGCGTAAAGCTCCCTGACGATGAAGTTCTGCAAAAAGCCGATGAGTCAATGAACACACTTCGTTGTGTTCGTTGCTGACCCTGCTGCAGCTGGAGGCCTCAATGACTATACAGAGATAATACTAGTAGCTTCTTGTTCCTAGTAGTAAGGCCAGGAGCCCCTAGTAGCGTCCTTGCTCCTAGTCGCGATGCCAGGAGCCCCTAGTAGCTTCTGTCTACTACATAGTGATATAGTACTGCAGCCGGGACTCTCCAGAGATACCGACAATGATGCAAACTTGTCCTTGGTCTTCTTCCGCTGACGCGTTCCACCCAGGCCTCAAGGTCACTAAGACTTAGGAGGTTTTGAGCAGTCATCAAGACTTGTTCTAGATTCTACATGACTCTTCATCCAATCCATCCCCCACTTCAGTTGGCATCATGACCGCACAGTCTACATTGGTCACCTCCTTGGAGTAGCATTTGCGCGAGTTCTTCTGCACTTGACGGAGGGCCAGTGTAGAAAAGCCTGTCTCCTGAAGATAGAAGGGTATTGTCACAATACGTTCCCTCTCAGATTGCAGCACCACATTTACCCACATGGTGTGGACCGTCCTTCCTCATCATACTGCGCACGCCTCTCCGTGTCGCTGAGCACTTCATAAGCGAAGCTCACCTCTTTGAACCTCACTCTACAAGATAGATATATATATATATACAGTATATATATTGCTGTCATCTGTTGAAGAGACTCCAACTCTGGCCAAATCTATCTTCCTTTCATCAAAAAAGATAGTTCACAAAAAATGCCACACAAAATAGTGCCCGATGCAGTAGCCGCTCAGGATCGCCACCTTTGTCAGGATGATGAAGCCACGCAAGTCTCCTGATTGAAGATATCAAAGCAAATCCGAGGCAATTGAAATGGAGGATTTCCGTAAACATCTGCACCACCTTCCATTCGAGCAAAACAAATCTCAGCACTTGCAGAGATGAATCGTCCCTTCAGTATTAGTTGATAAGGCCAAGCATGTATGACACAATATTCTGTTCGTGGTGGATGGGCTGTCGGCTGATGTCTCCACTTTTGATATTGGTATGTGACGTGGACTGTGTTCGTCGTTAAACATGGCAATGTGTGGCTTGATTGTCGCCCGTGCCTGGCCTGATTGAACGAGCAATGTCAAGGCGCGCCAAAGCGCAATACACTAAACAAACACGGTTCAGTTGATGTGACAAAATCGATGTGAAGTAAAGCACGGCACTATAAGGCAAACAAAAGACGTTTTGTTGGTGATGGACCGAAAGCCCAAAGTGAGAACATGGTGTTATCTCTTTGACGAGTAACACGTGTACACCTACGGTTATCACTGTTTCTTCTTGTGAGAAGAACGGTGTTCTTTTAATTTACTGACCATAATTTCCCTCTCCTGTACGATCTTTTGATTTCGGCTGCATCAGAGTCTTTGGCCAGCTCCAAGGCAGAATACAGTGCAAAGGTGCGGCTGGGCTTCGACATGAACCCAAAAGGCACCACAAGAGGGTATGTTTTCCAGCGGCAGGTTTATCGTTTCGTAAAAAGAGATTGAGGCTGAGGTCTTTGTATGTGGCTAAAGGCCCATTCAGAATCTCAAGTCTTGCGTTGCAATGGAGAACACTGGTGTAATAGTGTAAGCCAGCTGCGTCGCGAGTTTCATGCATGACAAAATCTGAAGGTAATCAACAATAATCACAAACCACGAGCCTTTGCTGTGACATCGAAGAGGCCTCAACAAAACCACTATTCAGAAATGCTTTACTGCACTTGACAGTTGGTTTTGTCTGCGCGTGTGTTCTGAACTCCTGTCCCTAGCTTCAAGAACTTTTTTCATTTTCATGTTTCAGCCAAACACACGACACAGAATAGAATACAAAGGAAACAACCTCATGTCTCATGTCAGCCTTTTCTGCAGACTCAGCAATGACTTCGGCCACTCCTACAGCACAACAAATGCTGCCCCGCAATCTTCCCCAGAACGGTCATGTACAGTTTCAAGGAAGATATATGTAAAAGAGCTTTCTTGCCGTTGCATGGGCCCGGATTGGCATGTACGCTGCAGTTACCATCACTTTTTTGTAGTGGGTTTCGCCTTTCTAAAGGATGGTTTCGGTAGATGGTGACCGTGTGCTTGAGCAGCTCAAGCAATCTGCATAACTTCTGGCAAGTCACCAAGTCGAAGTAACCCCAAGAAAACTCCCCAACAGCTGGGCACCAAAATCCGCTTGCACCATCGCAAGTTCACCAAAAAGGGTCGTGATTTGCCAGGCAACGCTGCCTTCTTAAAGGTATACAGAGTAAAACTTGCCCATGTGCCACATCTGGAGAGCAACGCGGCAATACGTCGGCATAACACATGTCATGTGCCCACATCTGCGCAAGCAAGACGACACCGCAAGCAAGAACCAGCAAGCCTGCTCCGGGCTCCGAGCCCGCTCCGGTCGGTTCAGCATCTCAGGGCAACAACATGTCAGCCTGACAACATGTCAGCCACCAGCATGACAACATGTCAGCGTGACGCCACGCAAGCATACCAGCATTTCAACACGAATCATGCCAGCGCAGCGGCGTGACAACACCTCCGCATCAGAGACACAGCGTATCTGCAATGTGCTCAGGAACTTGCTCCGGAGCTTCCACCAGAACTTCCTCCGGAAGCTCCAGGGCCTGCAACCTCATTCGGAACTTGCTCTGGAACCTGCTCCGGAACCTCAAGACCTCTGAGCTTTGCTGTTGGGGAATATTATCATTATATATAGTGATTCCCCAACATTATAAGCTTGCCCTTCCTAACAACCCAGGTCACCTGCCAGGGAATGCGCCGCAGCCGCGCAGCAAGCCATAGCTCGGCATTTTGTTGCCTTCGCTTTCGATCGTTCAATCTCTATCAAAGCAAAGGGCAAAAGTTGATTGAAGCAACACCCTCACTCAAGGAGATTGAACAAATGTGTGCGATGTGGAGATGTGGGACTGGGTGTATAAGTGTGATCTGGCGCACCGGCGCAGACTGGTGAGTGTGAACCTTGGTCCAATGTTCCGTGGTGCTAGTACAGCTCATGTTGGATCTAAACTGAGTCATTGGGGCCTTTGTCAACCGGTTGCTTGGAGAGTTGCCTGTGTTCCCTATCTTGGAACCGCAGCAAGTGTCACACATTGCACTCCCCTTGCGGTTTGCTGTCGAAGCCAGGTGGGGGCAATTAGGGAAGTTGCAAAGCACATTCCTCATTGCAGTAACTTGCTCTGCTTTGTGAATTCTACTTCATAGAGGTGTCCTGATACCTCACTTGCTGGTCCCACAACTCAGCTGTCAGGGGAAAACCCTGCAACAATACAAGCAGCTGCTGGTCAATGAGAGACGCAGTGAAGGACCCGTGGAGAGCACAATGAGCACAATGAGTGCTTCCAAGAACCGACATCCGTTCTGCTTGACATCCCAAACAGCCGTCTAGCTAGCGTAGTAAGACCCGCAAATCCCTGAGTGTGTTGCGCCTGCGCTTCACATCTGTTTTAACCTGTTCCTTCCAACGTTTCTGATCCAACACTGCACAGATTTTGCGGCATTGGTCTGTTTTTTGCGGCATCCGCTGCACATATTGACTTTCTGACTAGCAGTCTTTGTCGTTCGTGATTCAAACGCATTTTGGCGTACTTTGTCAGAAGCGTCGAATCCCTTCAACTCTGAACATGTGCCAAAGTAGAAGACTGGCAACATCCAGCCTGAGCTGAGTCCACAACTTGCACACAAGCACGGCCTAATTGTCGCCTGATTGCCTGCTTGAGCCGGAAACACATCAAAAAAAAAGATCTGCCGCAGTCCGCCTTGGCTTGTTGGGCACCACTCTGTGCCAGTGGGGAGGCAGCGACCCAAGTTGATGCGCGGGAAGCTTCCTGTTTCATGTCTGCGCAGCAGCATCTCAGCATCAATCTTCTTCTGACTGAGAACCAACACATAGTCAACATCTAGATCCAAATGTATTATGGAAGAAACAGCTGTTCTACGGCCAGGAATTCAAAGCTGCAGGCCGAATAATTCCCGACGTGCACAAGTTGTTACTTCAGCTCAGGAATTTTCTTAGCTGGAGGAAGACGCAGCGTTGAAGTGCTAGAATGGCTTTCTTTACTTCCCTGTTTATTTAATTCCATGTCAGGCACCGACCTGCATTCAACAAAAAACAATCCTATCAATTTCACCCTGAGGTGCCTTTACGATTCCAAGTGTTGCTGCGTCGAATCAATGAGTGAGATATCAAGACCTTGAACGAGTTCTTGATGCCAAAGAAACTATGCCTGCGCAAGTTCAGCCATTGAGGCTGCTGAGCTCACCTGGAACGGCTCCCATAAGTCAAAGCCATAAAAAAAGATCCCGCAGTTGAAACCGATCAAAAACGATGTTCCCAATCCTCCCTGTTGAACGAAATATGTGACAACCCATGCTTACCAGTCCTTCACAACCGTTTGGTTTGCAGATTATGTGCCTGACACATCGAAGATCACAGGTTGCGAGGAGGGAGACAAGTTTCCCGCAGAGCAGACGCAGTATGACAGAAACAGTCACAATTGCCAACGACAAAGTCATCCCAACGCAAACCTCAAAATAAACGTAGCCCATATGTCCAAAACACAGTGATTGGAAGCTGGATCTTGCGGCCACAACACGTTGCATTAAATCAATCTGGAAGGAAACATGCGGCATATGACTGTCCTTGCCCTCCACAGCACTTTGTCATTGCTCGATATGTATCTTTACCCATCACCTCTTTTGCTAAAATTGAAGTCTACATAATTTATTGGAGAAATTGTGTGTAAGGAAAACATAGGAGTTAATGTGAGCAGCACTGTAAAAGCAACGTGAGTAACAACAGCAACATCACTAAGGTCAGTAGGAGCAGCATGGTAACAGCGACGTAAGTCACGTAATTGACGTTTGTAACGGCAGCACAGAAAGAGTAATGTAAGTAACACTTGCACAGCAACAGCAACGTAAGTGAGATCGCAAATAATAATAGGGTAAGTTACACTAGCACGGCAACAAGAATGCAAGCAACAGTAAGGTAGGTAACAGCAGCACAGCAGCAGGAAAATGAATTACTGAGTAACAGCAACAACTGGACAGCCACGGCAACGTGAATAAGAGCAGCACAGTAAGAGAAGAAACAGTAACGGAAGCAACAAACAGTCGCACAGAAACAGGAAAGTACATAATAAGCAACAACAATGTCAGAAGCAGTAACTAATGTATATAACTGTTGCACTGTAACAGTATCCGTAACAATAACGAAGTAACAGCAACGTAGGTAAAAACAGCAGCACCAACTGTTCATTTTGAAGCTTGCAATTGTCCAAATTCCAGAACGACCTGCGCATTTAAAGCTTTAACATGCCAAAAGTTGAAGAAGTCTTGTATGTTTGTGATGAAGTTTTGAGATGTCAAGATTTAAGTCAATGCATTTATGAGAGACAGCAAGCGCACGAAAAGCAATTTTTTCCCAAAAGACTTGGTCGAAGGGCTCTTACTAAAGGCACTTGGTCTGACACATCTAGTTTTTCATTTGCAAGAGTCTAGCTCAGGCTTTAAGCACGTGAAAAGTCCTGCACAGGCTTTAGCACTTGTAACAGTCTTGCACAGGCTTTAGCACTTGTAAGAGTCTTGCACAGGCCTTAGCACTTGTATGAGTCTTGCTCAGGCTTTGGCGCTTGTAAAAGTCATTTGCAAAGGCTTTAGCACTTGTAAAAGTTTTGCTCAGGCTTTAGCACTTGTAAGAGTCTTTTGCACAGGCATTAGTACGTGTGAGAATGTTGCACTACCACTTGCAAAAGACTTGACCAAGTCTTAGCATTTGCAAGAGACTTGACCAAGTTTTTGTCTCGACATCTCGATCCTTTATTATCTTTAAAGCCGGGGCAATCCGGCCTGTCGAGCGCCCAAACGTGAAACGCGAATCCTGTTGGTCAGCGGCGATCCCTCTCGCAGGATCCGGCTCGTCGAGTGCCCAGACGTGTAGCGAAGTGCGAATATTGTCGGTTCCGGGTAAGCCCTCTCGCAGGATCCTGTGCGTCGCGCGTCGCAGTGGCAGTTAGCTGGCGTAAGTGCGGCGTGTCGCTGGGGAGGCAGATAAGTGGCGGTGTGTATACGAGGCTGGGTGTGACATGTGTGGCACACTGTGTGGCCAAAGTCCATCTGTGATGTCGCTGTGCTATGCGGCTTTGCGCGGCGTCGGTGAAAAGTGTGTTTGTGGGTGTGTTTGTGTGAGTCAGTTCCACTGGGGGGAGGAAAGCACGCTGGCGTAAATGCAGGGTGTCGCTGGGGAGCTGGATGAGTGGTGGCGAATACGAGGCTGGGTGTGACATGGTTGTACGCAGTGTGTGGCACACCGTGTGGAGAGTATTCAATTTTGATGTCGCTGTGCCACGCGGTTTTGCGCGGCGTCGGATCTTGCCGGCGCTGGCGGAACCCTCTCTCGTGTTCAGTGCCGAAACGTGAGGTAAAATGCAAATTTTTGTGCGCGCTGGGCTGCTTGGCGATGTCACAAAGGAAATGAGCGGCCAAAACAGCTCCGTGTGCTTAGAAAAAAGAACTCTATTCTTGCGCGCGCTTTGCTTAAAACTTTCCTGCCATCAGGGGGTCTAGTTTCGATACAAAGTGTGTCTGTGAAGCTCAACAGTTAGGCTCTGCGGAACAACTTCGCGTCATTCTGGGTGGTGTCCTTAACATTCAGTGCCGCAGAATTGCTTCGTTTTCATGTATTCAATTTCGATGTGATGCGGGGGAAGGCTTCTGGAGGTAGGGGCTCGCAACTGGCCACTTTGCACAGATGCAATGCGGCACGGTTGCCTTTTCAATCAGGCTTGGCCTCGCTTTGTTACCTCGCGCGTGCGACAAGTGGCACACTGTCTGACAAATTACTTCGGCGACGTGCCGTGCGTTTTGGCGAGGCGTTGGTTGAACGCGCGGGTGTGGCTCTGTGCATTATTGAAAAGTGAGTTTGCCTTTCACACACAGGTAAAAGAGTGCGAACCGTGGACGCACAAAGAGGCGTATGTATGGAAAAGACCTGGGTAGAGCAACAAGGTCTAGCTTATCTTCCAACAGGAACCTGCTTCTGAATTGCGTGACTGTTGCGGATCTAGATAGTAGCCGCCCTCCAATTTTTAAAGTTGTGCAGAAGGTACACACTGAAGGTGATCAATCTCCGCTGGTTCTATGGTGGAAACTCCATATGGCAAAGAAACAAGAAAAAGAAAACCATGGAGTCTCCGTGCGCAACAGTCCTGCAAAATGTCAAGGATTGCAAGAGCACTCACATGATTCCAAAGTGAACAAACGAAATGTCCAATCTGCCTTCGCTGCACTAGAAGCATGCACAAGCCTGGCGCCCCACAAAAATTGTGAGCTTGCAAGCGTCTCTCTGATTTGGATGCAAAGCCGATGAGCAGTCTTGAAGGCTGTGGGGCCACTGTAGGGGTGAGGGAACAGCTGCAGACTGTCGTCTGCTCATGCCTGCTCCACATACTTCTGGTTACACCAACAGTGCGGTTTGCAGCTGAATCCGCAGTGCCAATGACCTTTGCGCGCACCACACAACTGACTTCTTTCCAAACACCTTCCCAAATGAAATGTGTCATTACAAATGAATATCACCACAAGCTGCCAACTGGGCTGATGCCAACATGATGTCTGCAGAAAACGCTTGGGAATGAAGTGGCTTCATCTTTCAAGTCTGTTGCTGTTACTGTTGAAGGCGTGTTTCTCTGTTCCGCTGATTTGGGGTTTGCTGGCCGTACTCAAATCAGCCGGACGACAAGCTAAGTACTCAATGTGGACAAGTTGCGCTCAACAAATTCAAGCTTAAATAATGCATACCCAAACCATCGAAAAGCTGGTTTGGGCAAAGGACATGAAACCCACGGCAGTCCGCTGTTTTGCACGTGAGGAAGCCATGGAACCTTAACTCCCGCTGTCATCACATGTTTCATTTTGTTGCATTTCGGCTTTTACCAGCAATGTTAATGGCGCATTTGTTTCCTCCTAATGCACAAATCACATGGGGAGAAGCACCGTCTGTTTGCGCCAAACATCTCACTGTGTGGAGTGTTCCTGCGACTAAACTTTGAAATGTGTTTCTTTTCTTAGCCCGGGCGGGTAGGCTGCAGATACAGGAAGAGGTAGCTAATTAGTAGCTATTAAATAGGACGCTCCTAGTAGCTGGACGCAGGATGGCTCTCGCACTAATGATTTATTTATTTGGTTCCTAGATGTTTAGGGAAACTTAACATCAAGTAATTGCAAAAAAAGTAAGGCAAGTACATGTTGAATCTGTCGTCTGGCTGAATGTCCCCTTCATCGTTTTCGAAAACATGGGTTCACAAGGATTGGATGTACAGTGTATGGTAGGCAACGTTTGATACCTGCACACCTACTATTTTCGGGAAAAGTGCCTGATTATGTGATACGCATGGTATATTGCAGAGATGTCTAAACTGTACATGCTGCAAACCAACAACACAACAAAACGCACAGCACAGGAGCATTTTATTTCCCTCTGGCACTGGCATCTGAACACACTACAATGTACAGTTGGCTGCACTCGCAACGTAGAGAATTAGAAAAGTAGGGAACCCTGCATTTGCTGCGCAATGCAGGGCGCAGCGTGCTGCTGGTGAAAGATTGGCCTCAAAACTATACTACTCTTGATAAATGAGGTCTGCTGTTCATCCAGCTTTAGAACCATACGAACTCCTTCTCCAGCCTCCAGATCACTGTCCACTCTCTTTGTTGGTGGTGAAGCTGCGCAAGAGTGCAAAAGGCCTTGACACACTCCTACTAGTAGCTTCTTGCTACTAGTAGTAATGCCCTTGTTACTAGTAGGGATGCACTTGTTACTAGTAGCGGTGTATTTGTTACTGTGTTAGGACCACGTTCTATTTTTGACAACTCTGAGGTCTCCACCGGCCAGCAGGGAAATCACGACGACTGCACAGCACCAACAATACAGTATCTCTCTGTTCACATCAGGGTCGTTTGTCTGGGTTCTACCAGGTTTCCAGAACCGGACCTTGCGCAGAACTATGCGCATATATACCAACCCCCCAAAGCAATCATATCAGTGCATCCACCCAACGGGAAGAAGTGGAAACTCATGTCAATGCCGCGATCGCCACCCACCGAGTCAGGAGAGGTGTGTGGCGGCGAAACAGGGGGTAACTCAGGGTAGATGTCGCGGTGTGAGGAGAGAAGTGGGGAGACTCGAGGCATGGCATGGCAGCCAGTGAGGCGAAACACGTGGTAGGGGAGGCAAGGCTCCTGTCATTTCGTGACAGCCGCCTAGTTGGGAGTCAAGAACGGAGAGAAGCCGAGAATCATGTCGCGACAGCCAGGGAGTGCTGTAGTTGGACAGAAAAAACGATCTAATCCTTGCAGCACTGCCAATGGGCATAACTTCGGCATATATAACTCAACTGTAATTCCATCTTGGGGAGATACATTTGCAGAAACTCTGGAAACAAAGTCTGCGAACAATCTCTGAACCAAGCCTGTTGCCAGGGTGTATGCGGTGACAGATTTGCGCCTCACGCGCAACCTGTGCATCACCAAATATGAGGATGAAGCAATTGCACGGTCCTAATCCTATCCCAACCTGTGCCAAACTGGTGAGAGCTCCATCTGATTGCAGCGACCCGCGAGGAAACTTGACAAGTTGCGCACAGCAAGCTCGGTTTGTCCTATACTGCTCTGCAGCATGCTTCTTGCTAAGGATAAGGACCCATGATAAGTGTGTCTACTTGCTCCTGACACTATAGCTGGGGCAAATACGACACGAGGATGCAGAAGAATCTTGAACAAACCACTGTGCCGCACGCGTTCTAACCCAATCAGGTCTTTTCACTGTCCTTTTCCATGCGGGCAAAGCGCGCGCACGTTTCCTTTGAAAGTGCATGACGGGAACATGGGCCTGCACTCAGTCTTCGCCTTCAGCCATCAACCACTTTGATGTCATCCACGGTGATGTCACTGGACCAACCGGAACCTGTCAGGATTTGAGCGGCCAAGTGCTGTTTTGTTTGGTGAAATAGAGTTTAAATAATGTGGTTGAAGCCGATTATATATATATATATAACCTACCCAGGATCCCTCAATTTTCGTCTAATGGTGGTCCTATTTGCAGATGTTCTCATTTGAGCATGCGCATATGACACTGGTATGATACCTGGGATGCCTCGTTCACCGCCCCTGTATGATGAATGCTTCAAGGGCCCGAGGGCAAGCTTGGCCCAAGTTTTGACTCCGCTGTGGTCTTTCTCAAACAGCCCTTGGCGACCTAGCCCTTTTCAGCTACACTTGCGTTGCTGCCGCCCGTTGTTCACGGTGTTGGTGCTGATTTTAGGATTGAATTCATGATTCTGTCGAATTTGTACATATACCCGCTTAGAATTTAGAAACATCAAGCCCTTCCACTACTGGTCAGATGCTAGGCTAGGCAATTGGAAAATAGAACGATCAAGCGAGATGGTCAAGAAATTGCAACACTTGCAAACGGCTCGGACCTGTGTGGCCCTTCAGTTGAACCGACTCGCAGTCCATCGGTAGCACCACTTCAGCTTGTCGCCACGAATCACCTTGAGACCCGGAGACCGTGAAGAGCGGCTGCCAGTCCGATGCACCAGTGCTCATGCACGACACGGTCAAGTCACCCATGCTCGTGCCCTGCGAGATTGCTCGTCCAACAACAAATGCGGATAAACTCCTTACATTCTAAACAAACCTACTAGCGATAGCCTCCAACCTACTAGCAACGGCCTCCAAGCTAGAATCCAAACTTCTTGCATTCACTTTTCATTTTTTTCAGATTCTCTCTCTGTCTGGCTGCATCTCTCAAATGCACTTCCACATACGTAACTCGATTGAATTTGTATCCAAGTTTGCATGTTTTTCAGATCAGGGAACGTTGTCTGGATGAGTTGTTCTCTACAAATAAAATGCATATGCGCGCCGAACGTAGTAAGCGCAGCAGCCTTCATGTGGTAGTAAAACTGCAGTTTCAGCGCAGTTGTCACTACAAAGTGCCCAGATTCCAAGATAAAGTCCTTGTTGTGGTTGCCGCCGCTGGCCTCTGTATAGATGTAGTGAGAGCCTCCATCAGGGAACGGCAACTTGAACCAAGAGTATCAAGCCGCAGCCAACAAAAATGGCAAGACTGAAACTCAACCTCTTAACGACGGACCCACGTTCACCGAGACCTTGATGAGCAGAGGATGGACCTGTTCCACTGCTTGGAGTGCCAGAAGAATCCCGAGTCCAATCTTTTGCGCCATCAACATTGTTCCAGTTGCAAAGGTTTGTCTCAAAGGTACCTCAGACTTCACAAGAGTCTGTGAACATCCCATGTGGAAAACATCATGCAATATTTGCATACTTGATGTGGAATATCTTAGGGTTGGAAAATGCTTGTATGAGACACATAGTGTAAAGTTTCACACTCACTTCGGCTTCGGCTCATCACTTTTTTTTGCGCGCGAAGCACGAAGTCCTTGGTTTTTGCACTTTGTGCAGGGGGCGGGTGGGCGGGTCACCCTTGAGCCGAGAGCCTACCGAGGTGAAACACTACGCACGCAGGGCTAGGCTACCACGTTTCACACTCACTTCGGCTCATCACTCTTTTTGCGCACGAAGCACGAAGTCCTTGGTTTTTGCACTTTGCGCATCCTTCCCCCCTGAAGCAGACGCCCCTCCGCGAGAAGGGGCGTCGGTCGCCAAACGCGACACGACAAGGGCGAAAGCTAACAAAGGAGCGGAGGGGGACTCACTTGTTTGGGAACCCCTTTACGGGGGTCATATCCGCACAAGCCATGCGTGCAGCGGTATTGACCGAAGCTTTTCTGGACGTCCAAAGATATGCTAGGAAAGCGTCGGAGTTCCACCGCCCCCAAGTGCGCAGCACATATGAATCCACGCCGCCTGCCCACATAGCGGACGCGCCTCCAAACCTCAAGGAGTGTGGGGTGTAGGCCTGCGCGTCCTCACCCAAAGACGCCGCGATGGTCTGCAGGGCGGTCTGGATGTCCTGTCTGGAGACTGCTCCGAAGAACCTCTCCTCGGGGTGCGGCGGAGCAGCCTGCCACTTTAACTCCGAAAACTCGATAGTGGCCAAGACTGGGCACACCTCGGCGTTACTGCGGAACAGGTTCCTGGTAGCTGACTCCCCCTCGGGATCAGTTTTGGAGGCTCGGACAACTATCTGAACCTCATCCGCTTCGCCGAAAGGCGGCCGGGAAAGGAGCTCTCCACGGCGATACAAGGTAACATCCTTTACCCGGAGGCCGAGCCTGGGATTACTCCCGCCAACCAGCTCGGAAACCCTCAAGGAAAAAGAAGCCCAACTGAAGCGCGCAGTTGAGCTCTCTTCCCCACAGCCCACAAGGCAGCATTAGCCCGGGCTAGCATCCTCGGTGCGACGCTTCGCTATGGGGCCCTTTCGTCTTCGAATCCCTTCCAAAGCCAACATGAGGCGAGGGAGCGGTTTCAGTGGGCCCGGAAACCCCAATTGGAGATGTACACTCCTAATAGCGCCCAATCGGGCCTGAGCAGTAGCCGCTGCCAGGCCTTGGCCCACGAAGAGGTATACGAGATAGTCGAGGAACAGCGCTTCCTCTCCGGGATCGAAACGATCCACGGAGCGAAGGGCTGAGACTCCCCTCCGTCTCGTGAAGAGTTCCCACCACCTCCAATGCCCGTCGTACAGGCGTTGTGTGGCCGGTGAACGATGGTCTTTTACCAACTGCAAGCCTTCCCTAGCCCAGGCGTGGGCTGGGACCACCCCTGCTTGGGGGCATTCGCCGGAAACTTGGTCTTGGAACTTGCAGGCGTATTGCCACTAGGTGCGACTAGCGGGTGTCTCCCTCTGCGTCTATGGTGTCGCGTTGTTAGCTCCGGAGTGGAGCTGAGAGGATCCTTCACTGGAGGAAGGGAAGGCGTCTCTCCAGTAGCGAAGCTGACCTTCTTGATCTCGCCTCCCACCCTGCGCTTCACCGGGCACGGATCGTGCCTCGGTAAGCCAGGTTGAGTGCCAGCAAGAACCAGGAGCAGCAGGCTAAAAAGAAGCATCCCCCAGAAGAGGGTGGTGCCGCTCGCATGCTTGCGAGCTTCTCCATGGACGGGTTTGCACCCCTGAAGACCAGGTGGTCTTCCAAAGAGCCGCTAGGCACAGCAGGGTTGCCAGACCACGAAGCCAAGGGCCTATCAGAGGGTCGTCTTCGGTCTCGAGACCCGCAGCTTGTGCTCCAACCCCCGTTGGTAGCAGGAGCAGCAGCCCACCCCCCAGAGCTTGTGCTGCGGCACGGCGTGCCCCCTCATTCCTCGGGAGCGACCTTGCTAACCACGCGCGCGCTGGGGGGGCGCTTTAAAGGCGGCTTGCGGCCTCGCACTTGAAGGGGCTACGGGAGCTCTTGGCTCGGGCTCCTCGGCTGTCTCTCTGGCCTGTGGCGTGCGAGGGCGGCGACTCTCACACAGCAGCCATCCCACGACTGGGTTCTTGTTAAAGGATTTTTTTAAAATCCTGGTCAGATCATGGCATTCCAGAGTGCTGCCATGAGCCTGCTACGATTTCTGCGGATTTCCAAAGTGCTGCAACTGTCACCCTCTCAGTGCCACGAAATTCTGCAACTTCCATGACGCAAAGAACATTGCCATCAAAAATGGACATGGGGCTCACGTTGTTGTCAGGACCATGTGTTTTCGAAAACAATTCAGCAAAGAACACTGTAGTTTTTGTAAAGAAGGGGCAGGCAGACTTTGATTCATTAGTTTGTTTTTATTTTGTGTCCAGGTATTTTGCATTGACTGCAAAAACAGTACAATATATGTCAAGAATCAGATCTCAATGCTGAATCCGATGAAGTCGACACACGCACAAATAATATGTATGTTTGCCAGTCTGGCTTTTCCTACCATCAGCTGGGCATACATAACCGACCCACGCATCCTTGACATACTTTTTGGTAACGATGTTTTGAATAAGGGTCATACTGCGCGATGATGAATGTGTTGCAAGAACGTGAAAGTATTTTGTAGGAAGCCAACTTTCTTAAAGAGCTCCATGAACTGGTGACTACTTAAATGTTTCATGAATATATTTGTCACGGCTCAGGACCTGTCAGGAACCAGCGATACTAAGGAAACTAAGGCCTCGACACGCTTCATCAGAAAAAAACTATAAGGAATGAACTAAGGAGACTGCAGGCTTTATCATCTTCATCCTGCTCGCGTTCATGGGCCTTAGCTTGGGCACGCCCAGCCCCCCAAAAAATAAACACTACTTGTAACTAGTACGCCGAAAGGTGTACAATAGCGCCGAAAGGTGCAACTCATCTTCTTTTTCTTTAGCTGTCGTTGGGCTCAACTTCCAGTGTCGGCTATTCAAATTTCCGACACTGGCTAAATAGGACTAAATAGGATTTTTGTGTGTGTGTGTTGCCAGTTCTGGTCTTTTCCAGAACTGGGTGTGTGTTGTGTGTATTACTTCCAGCGTCGGCTATTAAAATCCGACACTGGC